ATGGTTCTCAAACTTTGCGTGACCAAGAATTACCTGGAGAACTTTTTGAAATGAAGGTTCTCCAGGCCTTGACCCTGGTATTGATTCCATTACTCAGTATTCCTGGGATGGGCCCATAAGTTGTCCTTTGTCTGAGCTCTGTAGCTGACTCTTATTCTGATGCTCAATTGGATTTTGGAGCCACTGATCCAGACCCTTGTGTTTTCCTGCCCCCTACATTTTTTGCTACAATTATATCACTGTGGTCTTATCGTTATCCACCTCCTGGACACCCTCATGATCCCCTCAGTGAATTTAAACGTTAAAAAAAATAATAATATCAGCTACCATTAATTATTTCCTGTGGCCTAGGATTGCTGAGGGTTTCACATGCATTGCCTCACTTAATCAGACTAGGGAGGCATTATTAGTCCCATTATACAGATGAAGACAACTAAAGCTCAGTCACAATGTCTTATCCAAGTTCACTCAGCTAATAAGTACAAGAGATAGATCAGGGATTTGAGCCTGTATCTGTCGGATTCCCAAGGCTGGACTCTTTTTTTTTTTTTTTTTTTCTTTTAGCGATAGGGTCTCACTCTGTCACCCAGGCTGGAATACAGTGTTGTGATCATAGCTCACTGCAGCCTCCACCTCCTGGGTTCAAGCAATCTCCCTGCCTCAGCCTCCCAAGTACCTAGGACTACAGGTGTGTGCCACCACACAAGGCTAATATTTTGGTTTTTATGTTTATGTAGATGGGGTCTTGCTATGTTAGCCAGGCTAGTCTCAAACTCCTGGCTTCAAGTGATCCTCCTGCCTCAGCCTCCCAAAGCATTGGGATTTCAGGTGTGAGCCACTGCCCACTGCACCCAGCCTCAAAGCATGGACTCTTGACTGCTAAGTATATTGCCCACAAAATAGGTCATTATAATTTATTGACCCTCTACTATGAACCAGGCACTTGGCTGGATACCTTACACACAAATCTCTAATATTCATAGCATACCTCTGTTTGTAGAGGTATTAATTTCAGTCCACAGATTCTGATGTGCAATAAATTTCTCTATTCTCTGTAACCCATCTAAATTCCTCACTCCCAACCCCTATTTTCAGGCCTTCTGGATTTCTTCTTCCCACACCACCCCCAACCCCAGTAGTTATGCCATAGTTCTGGACCAACACAATAGCCAGGCATGGGGTGAGGGGAGTGTGACCTAGTCCTCCGTCATCGGTCCACATTGGTGGCCACTGAGGGGTCCATCCTCCCATCAACATGACCTGCTGGCCCCAGACACTCACTGCTCTCCTGCCCTACATCAAGCCAGGTGTATCTTTTGCCCATCTGCCAACACAGCCATTTCCTCTCTAGGTTCCTCTCTTCCAGCAGGATTTCTGGGAAGCAAGGGACTGTCCCCTCTGCTCTCAGACCCATAGACAAACCTCCCCCTTCCACACCACCTGCAAAGTCCAAAAGACTGTCTTACTAGTAATAGAAAGGTGAGGGGTTCCTTCTTCCTTCATATACTTTCAAGATATTTTAGCCTTTTGCTTTTCTTTGTTGGCTAGAATTCACCTGCCCACACTTTGGGAGGTTAAGGCAGGAGGATCACTTGAGCCCAGGAGTTTATGATCGGCCTGGGCAACACAGGAAGACCCTGTCTCCAAAAATAAAATAAAATAAAATAAAATAAATAAAATTCACTTGCCCTAAGTTCCTATATTTTTGGAAGAAAAAAGATTTGTAAACTTCTCTCTACTTTGCCCCTCTTAAGTGGAAGGGAGACAGTTTGGGAGAAAAATAAGTTGATATCTCAAAATATTATCACAGACACATGTTGTCCCCATTTTATAGGTGAGGAGATTGAACTCATTAAGGTTATATAATATTATACACAGCAAGTAGATAGGCCCCCAGCTCAGGAAACCTCATACTCCGTGACGTCCTCCCCTCTTCCCTCCCAGTAGCCTCCATGGTCAGCTTCAAGAAAACGCAACAGAGCTTGGGCATTAAAACCACCACTGGAAGTTTGGATCTGGTGATGGGGCAGGCTGGAAGAGCTTAGGTAGAGGTGAAAGCAGACACCACCCCGAAAGGGGACAGGTACCCACTCCTCCTTGTCATTTTCCAGGAGAGCCTCATAGAGTTTGAGTTGGCATGAGATGATGTTAGAGGAATGTTGGGTGGTGCAAGCAAAGGAACTACAAGAGCTAGAAACGATGTTGAAGGCTTCTTCCCATGTAGAAAGTGTTCTTACCATGCAGAAAGTGGTAAGGAAGTGTACTCTGCAGAAATGTGGGGGGCGGGTGGGGGCACAGGGTTGGTATTTCAGAGGCACTTGGATTCAGTGGTGTCTTTTGAAGAGTTTATGTCCAGAATAAAATGGGGAGTGGGAGTGGTTACTGTCAGTACCCAGAGGAGAGGAGATGAGGGTGGGCACAGGGGAGAGGAGCCCGAGATGGGTAGTCAGTTGGTTTTCCGTGCCAGCTTTATAGGAAAAAAAAAAGTGGAACTTTCAGATTCTGCTTAACTGTGCAGGAGCCAGCCAAGTACCCAGGGCAGAAGTCCTTGCTCAGAAATTGTATATCTGATGGGCGCGGTGGCTCACACCTGTAATCCCAGCACTTTGGGAGGTCGAGGCGGATAGATCACAAGGTCAGGAGCTAGAGGCCAGCCTGACCAACATGGTAAAACCCCGTCTCTACTAAAAAAACAAAAATTAGCCAGGTGTGGTGGTACGTATCAGCAGTCCCACCTACTCTAAAGGCTAAGGCACTAGAATCGCTTGAACCTGGGAGGCGGAGGTTGCAGTCAGCCGAGATTGCGCCACTGCACTCCAGCCTGGGTGACAGAGCAAGACTCCGTCTCAAAAAAAAAGAAAGAAAGAAAGAAAAGAAAAAGAAATTGTTTATGTGACGGGATGGTCCGCAAGCTGCAGGGCTTGGGAGGAAGGTACAGTCATAGGACAGAACACAGCTTCAGACTGGGTCAAGATCGTCCAAGTCTGCTGGTGGCTTCAGAAGACCCTTTGAATGAGGCTCGTCCAGGCAATAATTACCATGTTATCTAATTTTGCCCACTTAACATTTCCACTTGGATATCTAAGAGCCATCTCAAAGCCCCACGTGGCCAAGGCTGAATCTCTAATCTTCCCCCACCAGACCTGCTTCACTCACAGCTTTCCCTTCTTAGCTGACAGCAACCCCATTAATCTACTTGTTCAAGCTGAAAACCGGGAAGTCATCCTCAACTCCTCTCTGTCTCCCACATCTTGTAACTCAGCAGTCAGAAAATCCTGTGGGCTCTACCTTCCAAATATATCCAGCACCCATCCACCACTCCCCAGTTGCCCTGTTACCATGCTGGGCCAAGCCACCATCACCTCTCACTGTGTCACTGTAATAGCCTCCTAACAGATCTCCCCACTGCACCCTGGCTCAAACCAGAGTGATATTTTAAAACTATAATACAAATCATATCACCCTTCTGCTCAGAGTCGCCCCCACTGTATGTCACTGTATAAAAATCAAAGTCCTTACAATGTCTCCCCATTCATTGGCCTCCTTACTATTCCTGGAGCACGCCAGGCATACTCCTACCTCAGGACCTTCGCACGGACTGCCCATAGCTCTCCTCCCCAAGAGGTCCACAGGGGCAACTCCCTCACTTCCTTCAAACCTTTGCTCAAAGTTTAACTTCCCAATGCAATTCACTCTAATCACTCTGCTTAAAATCCCCACCTTCTTCTCTCCAACCCCATGCTTTTCTTGGGGTGATTCTCATTGCATTCTACCAGTCTACATAAATCTCTTTTTTTTTTTTTTTTTTTTTTTTTTTTGAGACAGAGTCTCTCTATGTCGCCCAGGCTGGAGTGCAGTGGCGCGATCTCAGCTCACTGCAAGCTCTGCCTCCCGGGTTCAAGTGATTCTCCTGCCCCAGCTTCCTGAGTAGCTGGGATTACAGGCACGTACCTCCATGGGCAGCTAACTTTTGTATTTTTAGTAGAGATGAGGTGTCACCATGTTGGTCAGGCTGGTCTCGAACTCCTGACTTCGTGATCCGCCCACCTCAGCCTCCCAAAGTGCTGCGATTACAGGAGTGAGCCACTGCACCAGGCCCTAAATCTCTTCTTTATGATGTCTGTTATCCAACTCCTCCCACCTCCACTGATACATAAGGACTTTTATATCCCACATGCCTACAACAGGGCTTGGCACATAGTAGTCATGCCAAAATAAAAAAATGTTGAACAAATGAAGAAAGTTAAAATAAAACTAGAGGCCCAAAAATATCACAAAAGCCATCTATGGTAGCCTTTTCCCCACCTGATTTTGCTGAGTGGCCTTGCTTTTCGTCCTCTACACAGCTGGAACATTAACGAACACGGAGGCGGAAGAAGTGTGTTTGCTCTAGGATCACCTCTCAATGAGTCACTTGGCAAGGGCATCTTTGCTTCCCCATCAACTCCTTTTGACATGAGGGTGAAGGGTTTTCTGTCCCTTTCAGTTGTAGAAACGTTGCCCCCCCACGCTTTGACCACAAGCATCACCAATTTCACTGAACCCAACAGAAATTTGGACCCTCTGGGGGCTCTCGGCTCGGCAGGGCCCTTTTCTTTTCCTTTGGGCTTAGCCTGCCATTTGAAACACCACCTTCCTGAGCCAGCATCCCCCTTGCAGCACTGTCACAGGGAGGCTTAGGAAGCCACGTGGAAGCCACCTACCCCGACCTTTGGCAGAATTTCCAAACACAACACAGTAGCTTTAAATTGATTAATTTGGAACTCTGACCTTGGCCCCAAAAGGTAAGAATACATAACAAGGTATTTTATTCTCAAAACGTGTCAGGATAAGAAGCACTTCTGTAAATCGACCTTTTTAAAATAGATATAATTAGATTTGCGGTTGGGGGCAGTAAGGAAAGTGTCTGAACAGTGGATAACATGTTGAGAGGTTAATTATTAATGGGCAGCCTTCCCTAACAAAGTATCTAATAGGCATTCTGGTCTCTTTGGCTTCAGAAATTAGCAAGAAAGCCTGGACCCCGGGTGAAACGGAGAAATGGACATAAGTCCCCAGTGTTTCTCCATTCTCTTGGTTTTATGCATCTTTATCCAATCAAGTGCCCATGGACAAAGCCTGAAACCAGGTAAGAGCCTGACTTTTCTCCAGAGATGGGCATGAACTTTTCTTTTTAAAATGTGTGTCACAAAGAATCCAGGGGTTTCTGACTGGATGGGACAGAGCTTGCATTCAGAGCATGCCAGGTGGTTCTACACATGACCTCACAGGTTCACAGGGACACGTAGCCATTTGTAAGCAGAAATGAAATTTTAGAAAAGCATCCTGGGATTAAAAGTCTTCTAAGAGTGCCTGCAACTAGCAGTGAAGTCTCTTGCATATCTGATATGGAAACAGTCACGCTAAAAGTTATTCAGTGGCGAATGATCTGAGAGCGATTCAGACCTTCCTGAGAGTTAATGTGGCATCTAATTTGCAACCAGGGAGCCAGGCTTGCAATGAAATGCTCTGTCGTGTTGGGGTTGTCTAATTGCCTGGCTCTCTCAGAAGAGAGGGGAGTTTATGAGAGTTCTATTTCCAGTCAGGTCTAAAGTAGAGATATCATTGCACAATTTCTAGACTTTGTTTTTCTGCCAAAGTTTTAGTCTGAGACTGAAGAATCCAACAGCAGTCCTGTCTGTTTTGTTTGTAAATTCACAAACTAGATTGACGGCCAAAGACAGATCAAATGCCTGATCAGGCAGGTAGAGTGGAGCCCAGATTCCAGGCTAACCAGTGGACCAATAAATGATGGATCAGTTAATTGAACAATTTGGCCAAACTAGACAGGTGTTTGGGACTTCGTTTTGGTACTGGTTACTGGTCAGGAGCTAGTAACGCTAAGGTAGAGTCTTAGATTTTTCTTTTCTCTGAGACTAGGCTTGGAGGGAGCTTCAACAACTTTGAGAATTAGAAATTCACTAACAGGGGATGTATCTAAAAATTTCAGAAACTTTTTACCCTTTAAGGAAAACGTCGTTCCTTTGTATTTGACCATAATTTTAGTTCATAGGTCAGTTAATAACTGAGTAGTAGTATTAATTATTGCCATTCACTAAGTATTTTCTGTGCCAAGCACTATACTATTTTTGATACATCATCTCATTTGTAAAGGCACATCCAAAAATGACCCTTACATAATAATTTAGAGCCATACAGGTAAAATTGCTGGTAATCTTTATTCCCTTGGTTCACAATGATTTTGCTCAACGGCCTTTCCTGCCCTCTGCCCCAGAATGTTGTATTTGTTTGTTTACTTTTTATTGACGTTTATAACACACTTCTAGAAAAAGGCCTATAACATAAATCCTCCATGAATTCTCACAAACTGAACCAGTATCCCCAAAGCCTTCCTTGTGTGCCCCTTGAGACTTAACATATATGATTTTTCCTTTGGGGAGATTTTTCACTAAGAGAAACACGTCAGTTGCTCTTTTGCGCCCGGCTTCTTTCGTTCCGCATTACGTTTGTGAAAGTCAACCATGCAGTTTCGTAGAGTTGAGGCTCATTCATTCTCACTGCTGTAGCATGCCACTGTGGGACCACACCACACTTCGCTCATTCATTCTACTGTCGATTGGTCAGGGCTGCTTTTGCAATGGAGCCATGGGAATTGGAAGCTGTGAATGCTGAGGTTGAGGTTGAAGGGCGGGACGGCGTCCCCCAGGCTTCTGGGTATTGGCCAGATTTTCCTTGACCAATCTCATTGTCCTGGTCAGCCTGCTTCTTTCCCCAGGGCCTGGTTTGTGCAAATGCTGAGGGAAGTGATCACTATTAGCAAGAGGGTTCCTCAGGAAAGAGGATGCGAGTCAGGAGGCCTCTTGTTCTCTTGGAAGCAGAATCTCTTGGCAGAATTCTTTCTGCAGTGAGTGAACCCAATCTGTGTGCATGTGGCTGGTGTGAAGTCTTTCTGAGGAAACTGCAGGGAAGCCAGTGTCCTGTGGCGGAGCCCTTGTCAGGCGCGTTTCTACACCAATGGTTCTCAACAGAGGCAATTTTGCCCTCCAGGGGACACTTGGCAATGTCTGGAGACATTTTTGGTTGTTAAGACCAGGGAGAGAGTGCTTCCCTCCCAGCATCTAGTGGGTAGAGGCCAGGGATGCTGCTTCACATCCTACAATGCACAGGACAGCCCTCACAACAGTGAATTATCTGGCCCAAAATGTTATTAGTGCAGAGGCTGAGAAACCATGATCTACGCCAAGCTTCAACTGTCACTCATCGAACACCAGGCAGTACTCCCTCAAGGACCCTTGCTCTTTAGCCCCTCCTCCCAGCCTACTTCTTTTGAGTATGTATTATTAATGACATCTTACTAATGGAGTCACTAATGTGCTGTGCACCCAGCATGTGCCAGGCACTCCACGGACATTTTATCTCATCCTCACCATATGGTTGAGTAAGCTGGCAGTTAAGTGCCTCGCCGGCGGTCGCATAGCTGGTCAGGGCAGAGCAGGGAGAGGTACCCGTAGCCTCAATCTGTCTACTGAGGCTGCAGTGCTCTCTGTCGAGCCCACACCCAGTGATGTGACGGCCAGAGGTTTCTAGAAAAGCATTCTGCTCCGTTCCTCTCACAGAGAGGCAGATTCAGACAGTTGTTCCTTCCCTTCAGCACTAAAGGGGACTGGACAGAGTGAGCTGCCTGAAGCCCCCATGGCACATCACACTTACGCCCAGCCCCCACTGCCTGAGACCCAGGTTCCCCAGCCACTGTTGCCATGAGAGCCAACACTGCTCCAAAGAGCAACTGCTGCTCCTAGACCCTGGCAAACCCCACCTTCAGGTACTTGGCCCACTATCAACAGGCGCCTTCTCCCTCCCCTCCACCCCAGCCTCAGCTTCCAAATCCTAGGAGCAGCTGAAAGCCACCAATTTAGTCAGTCCCTCATGAATGTCACAAGCATACATGAGCGCCTGCCATACGTGAGGCAGAGCCTGAGTACAACTCACACACTCTGTTCACACACCTTTCCTCTCTTAAAAAGCATTGAGGACCCCAAACAGTGTTTATTATGTGAGACATCAATATTTACTTCATTAGAAATGAAAACTGAGAAATCTTTAAAATCTGTTAACAGTTTTTAAAATAATAGTAAACCCTTGCATGTTAACACATAAAATGTAATTTTATGAAAAATAACTTGTATTTTCCAAATAATTTTAAATGGGGCAGAAGAGTGACATTGTTTTACAAAGAAATGTTGCAAATTTCTCTAGTATCTGGCTTCACAAGACAGCTGGATTCTCTTACCTGTTTCTGTACTCAGTCTGTTGTGATGTGTTGCTTTGTTTGAAATGTAGGAAGAAAATCTGGCCTCCCATAGAGGAAAAGGGAGGACTTCCTAAGGCGATCTCCCTGGGGCCTTAGCCTGCAAACTGCTGCGCTTGTGCAGTGGGCACGGTACAGCAGGGGGCTGCACAGCCATCCCTGCCTTGCAGGAATTTACGGCCAAATGGGTTAGGAGTGGGGTGGGGTGGGAATAGGGGGCCATGGGACTGGGTGGAGGGAGGATGTGCCAGCAATAAAAGGGCAACTGTCCGCGGAGAATTTAAATACAAATATAACCAAAAACTGATCTGCCTGTCATTATCACAATTCTAAAGAATGTCGGCCGGGCACTGTGGTTCGCGCCTGTAATCCCTGCATTTTGGGAGGCCGAGGTGGGTGGATCACCTGAGGTTAGGAGTTTGAAATCAGCCTGGCCAACATGGTAAAACACCATCTCTACTAAAAATACAAAACATCAGCCAGGCGTGGTGGTGGGTGCCCGTAATCCCAGCTACTTGGTAGCTTGAGGGAGGAGAATTGCTTGAACCCGGGAGGCAGAGGTTGCAGTGAGCCGAGATTGCGCCGTTGCACTACAGCCTGGGCAACAAAGCGAAACTCTGTCCCCCCAAAAAAAAAGAATATCAGCGATAAAGGCAAAGCTCTTTCCAGAAAAAAGTAGTTTTATGGCCTAAGTTCTAAACAATCTCTGTGGTTTCTGTTGGGTTTTATGTAATAAGTATATGTAAGCTTCAAATTCATCACATTTTTATTATTTATCCTTTCATAAATATTGTGTTCTACATTGACATTAATGTGGAGAACTCCCAGTTATGCACTTGGCCCTAACATGCACAGATTCAGGAGCATGTTCTTGTTGCAAGGGTAAGTGTGCAATGGGTCAGATCCTTTGACGTCCTTATGTCTCCAGCCTCAGTGGCACTTATTACCTGCTCCTGCATGTAAACAGTAGATTCGAAATAAAAAGTGACAGCGTAGTGGTTGTACAAACAAAAAACCTGAACTTGAATTACTTCAATTTTGTCATCCTAGGTGACCCCTTTAAGCTTCTCATATGTGTTTAAAATTTAAAGCAATAAAACAGATTGTGAACAATGAGGTGTAACATCTTGTTTGGTACGTAAAAATTTGGACTCATACACAAAATATTTTTACTGTATTTGAGTATCTTAAAGTTAAAATATATTTGTCTTTTTAAAAATTGTTCACTGCTTTATAACTGAAGAACAAATCGAGAAAGTCATGATGATTGCTGATTTTTACATAAATATTACTGAAAATGCTTTTGTCTTACAGAGCAGAGGGTCATTAAAATGATCTGTTCTGTGTGTCAAATCCATGAGGTATACCACTGAGTAATGTATGTAAATGTTATCAGCTAGAACATGGCATGTGATGAGGACCATGAGAGAGGAATGAGTAGAAAGGCAGAGTTTACTTCCAAGTGGAGGGAAGAAGTCTTCTGGGAGGAGGTGGCATTTGAGTAGGGTGTTGAAGGATGGTAGTATCCGGACAGAAGAGAATGAGGCTTTCCTTATACAATAACAGAGGTACACAGCTGATAAAGTACATGGGCTTTTCAAGCCCAAAAATACCTTTCAAAAAACAGACCATCTAGGAAGAAAAAGAAAAAAAAATCCCATAGAACGGTGTTGATAGCAACACTGGTTAAACTGCAACAAACTGGAAACAAGTTGAATGCCCAAGCACAAACCATTGAAGTCGGGGACTCCAGCTATTGCTAAGTCCAACTTCAAACAGGCATTGCTTTGAATACCTACTACTAAAAGGCACAGAAACTT